AGAAAGTACCAATTATCATCAATGATCGTTCTTCTTTTGCTAAAGAAAATACACGTCGTATATCGACTTGTTTTTCTTGTCGATTTTGTTCATGTTGTTGTTGTTCAATTAATTTCAATCGATTTAAATAGGGAAATATGAATAAAATACCAATGAATTCAAGTAAAGAACAAACAAGAAAAATATAAATACAAGAAAGATAAAGTTTACTTAATTGAAATTCTTGGTGAAAAATAATAACAAACTTAATAATGGCAAAAGTCAATGAACCGATAGCTATCAATAAGAGAGCAATGATAAATAGATATCGATTGAAAGGAAATGAAGAACGATCTATTGGTCTGTAGAGACGAAGAATCACAAGTATTTCTAGTTCAGTAAGTAGAATAATGAGAAGAATAAGTTTAAACATTGAAATAATCACAAGATCAAAGATAGATGTAGTTAGATGAAAGTGAATAATATCATCGATGAGTAAATGAGTTCGACTACCTGAAACTCCATAGAAACAAATGATATTTGTCATAGTATTTTAATGATTGGAAAAGGTGTACCTGCAAGCCAAATGATAAATAATAAGAAAAATTCTAGGAAAACAAGTCCACGAAGAATATTAGTAAGACGAAAATTAGAGATGGATGGAATGAGAATAGTATTATGAATGGAGGAATCTGAATTGTTGATGTTTGTGTTTTGAAAATTATCATCCAATAGCAAAGGATTTTCATCTTCGGTCAATGTGATATCAATAATTGCTGTATCATCAACACTATGCGAAGTCATATTGATAAATATTTAAAATAAACAGTGGATGAATGATGAAAGACGTGTTGACAAACACCACGATATGAATAAGCAATTTTCTTTTTCTCACAGGAAAGTATCAACTAATTTAGAAAAAAAACAAGGCCATCCGTTGATTGCTTGATTTGTTCAGCCAATCATGAAACAGCATACGCTCCACCAATTAAGATCAACTAGTGAAGGAGAGGACACTGTCAGTCTCAGTAGTCAATATAAAGTTTTGTTTGATTAACAAAGATAGATGGTAAAGAATTAAACTCTATTATGTTTCCATTATACACTAGCATTCTTAATTAATCAATCCATGTATGAATCACATTCGAGTTCCTGAGCGAACACGAGAGAGAAACATATATTGATCTACTTGTTGATGTGAATGATTCATTTCATTAATGAATCCACTGATGCACGTATTGAGATCATTTTATAAATGAATTCATTACAAAAATGATTGCACAGTAAAATAGGTATACTTTACAATATTGCTATATAATATTTTCATTGTGATCATCTTTTTCTTTTTAATTCTCCTTCTATTGTTCATTAACGACATCATAGCCCATATATTTGATTACGGTCAAACTGCGCCACAGTTTCGCCGTAAGGGTGAGTGTGAGTATTCGTCGTCACTTCATCGAAACTCACATCTGAATCACAAGGTGCTATAGGAAAGGGTACCGCTGGCGAAGACCCACCTTCAGAAAGCGAAAATTCTCGTTTTATTGCGTAAATAGAAAGAAAAAGAGAACGAAGTATTTTATAGTTCGTGTTGTTGTTCTTTTTTCTCTATTTGCATTCTTACACACGGATATATTTGATGATGATAATAGGTATCGTTTTAAGTCATATAACAGATAAGAGAAAAGTTGCAGACGTGTATACAACAATTCAAAAATAAAAATTAAGATGTTGTCGGACCCATGGCTAATCATTGGTGGTACATTTGTGCTTCATCAACTAATTTTTTGGATTCATAATGGTATTCTTCTACTCATTACTAATGTTCTCTGGCCAAATCGATTACAGAAATATAAAGTACAAAAGGTTGGTTAATTATTCATAATATGATTAAAAAGTATGATTTATCTTTAGGATATTCATGTCGATTGGAAATCGATTCGAAAATGTGCACGAACAGTTTTGTTCAATCAATTCTGTCTTTTTCTTCCATTTCTTGTTCTAATTTGTCCATTATTTATGCATCAAAATGTCCGATGGTATTTGCCTTTCCCATCATGGTAACATAAACTGTTTGAATATTATTAACATAATGTCTTGACTCTTGAGCTTTTCTTTCTCTTATTATTTCCAGGCATCGGATCTTATTTGAACTGTTTGGCTTTGTTCTTGTCACTGAAGTCTTCTTCTATTACAGTCATCTTTTTCTTGTAAATAACAGATGTTCGGTTAGATATCATGTATAATTATTTTTTTGTTTTCATATAGCATACATCATTCATGTATGAACGTGTACATAAACAACATCATCAATTTCGAGCACCAATCGGTCTTGCTTCGGAATATGCTCATCCGATTGAATTTATCATTTCGAACGTTGGTCCTGTTGCTGCTGGTCCGTTACTCTTTCAATCTCACTTATTAACAACATGGATTTGGCTTTTGGTTGCTCTTGTGAGCACAAATAATGGTCATTCAGGATATCATATATCAGGTCCATTCGGTATTAATATTGTCAGTGCAAAATTTCACGATTTTCATCATTCGCAATTTACCAACAATTTTGGCAGCGTAGGTATACTTGATCGTCTTCATGGCACTGATAAAGCCTGGCGAGCACGAAAGATGATGGAAAAAAAGCAAAAACAGGCTGCTTGAAAATGAATAAAATATGAGAACAAAGTAGAACATTTCACTTTTGTTTTAATCAATGATTATTATTGTATTATAAACAGCTGATGTTATTATTGCTTTTCATTAAATGAAGAAGAAGAAATATTTTCGCTCTCTAAGAAAATTCAAATTACAATCTAGTCAATATGCAATTTGATCTTCTATTTTGAAAAGAAAACAGTAGCACGAAGAGATCTTTTTTCTTGTTTGACTACAGAAAGAAAGAGACAAATACAGACCAAAATCAAATTGTATCCCAGTTATGTGCATACATGTATGTACGTTATGTAATGAATGAGTGAGTGGAGACAAAGAGAAAAGAAACGAAAGGTGTGTGGGTGTGGGTGTGCGCTGGATCAAAGAGAAAGATTACACCTACGCCCTTCCTACGTGGCTATACATTCCACATTTCGGCTTCAGTGTTTATCCTTCTCCTCGATCCATCGCTGAAATGCGAACAGTAGTCGGTGGTCTCATATCACCCTACAACCAAGTATTGATGGGTAATTCTACGAGGCAACGGCCACCGTCAAAGTTTGGTCTTAGTTGGTATTGGGATACCTTGAGCGATGGTCGTCGATATATTGGTCACGGTGGTTCGGTTCCCGGCATCGTAAATTTAATGGTCGTCAATGAACACATCTGCCATTTGTACAAAAGGAACTCTCGTTGAAGTTTTTTCCGCTATTCTTGTTATTTTCCATTTTTGGATAGTCTAAATATCGATTGTTCTATAAACGTTCTTTTTTATTTGGTAAAGAATGTATCAGTTAACAATTTTTACTAATCGGACCGTTTAATTGATACTAGAGCGTTTGTTTTTTATTATTTTTACTGTCATCACCGTCGTTTGTAATACCAACTTTGTTCAACGTGAATACAGCTTGAACATAAGAGAAATCGTCTTGCTAGAGAAAAAAAACGGTTCCTATGGTATTTGGAATCCAATGAAAGCTGTAACCTTCCCCAAAAGTGCATGACGTTTGTCATTTGTGTTGGCCGAAGTATATAGCGTTTTTCAGTGCCCCTGAAAAGTTACTTTTTTTGTTTTTACTGAAGTCAATCATGATATTTCAAGTTTTTCTCTACGATTTTTTAGAAGTATGAACCATGCATACTCTTTCATCAGTGGCGAAAAAAGATAGCCACTTTGGTCAGAACATGGTGGAAATAATCGATTTTTTCTTCGATAAAGGAACTTTCGAGCCTCCCTGTATTGTAATAGAATGAGAGAAAAAAACATTCCGTCATGGTCAATTTTCTTTTCAATTCTGTGTGAGATTGTATCATTGTTGCAAAATACGGTGTTTTTTCTTTTCTTCATTTTTATCCTTTGTTACTGTCTTGCTGGAGCTCTTCGAATTTCTCAATGATATTCATCGTCTTCGTGTCTTCCACAGCCTCAATTCCCGCTTTGACACATTGCTCTTCGTTCATTTTCGACCCTATCGATTGAATTTTCGATCCGTATCTAAATCAACAACGTTTATCATTGATCACCGGTCGAGTTATTCTACTTTGCCTTCCTGATCATGACGAAACTCCAAATCTCGTTAACCATTCTCTTACGCCTACGGTTTCACTCTCAATCAATTCACGGATTTACAATCACTGACACTTTTTCACATCGATTTTATTGAGAAAATCAACACGATCTTGAATGAAGCTTCGTATCTAAGTCAATTCTTCGTCATCTTTACGCGATTCTTTTCTCTGATCTCGGTGTTCAATTACTAATGCCTCAAATAGCTTCATTCATGACGATCTTGAAGATAATTGTTTTCGCTTCGGATTTTACTATGATATCTCTATTTTAAAATATACTGAATTTAGGTCATTTGACAGTTGATACATCGAATATTGTCTTGAACAGTCACAATAAGAAAAACAAACTTGAGCACTGAGAAAAAAATTACATAAGAAAAGACAAAATGATATTATTGTTATAGGATATTTCTATAGGTAGTCAACCACCAAAACTTCAAAGCATTCAGAAAACTTTTCATTTTAACGGACTTTGTAGAGCTTTTTTTGTTGATCATTTTGGTAAGAAATATTAAACAATGTGAAATACCGGGTGGCTTAAAATATCTCCAACATAGCTTGTTTTGCGAATATCTCTGCAGAGACAAACGATAAAATTCTCCCTAGTAAACATCAATATATACCAGACATGATATATTCAAACTATAGCATTTGTTTGTTTTATGTAGAACATAAGAGTTTATGTGAGTTCCACATTTTAGACTTATTATAAGCTACGCCTATAAGTTTTTTTATAATTTTATTGGAACAACAGACGAGAGAGACAGTGATCAATGTTCAGTATCCGATGGTGGTGATGATTATTCATTAATTAATCCTCCATATGCAAGTGTACGTATTCGTTGCAGACTTCGTCTTATTCCAACAATAATTATAACGATAATACTAACAGCACTGAATATAACAAATGCAATAGATATTTCATGAACAATTGGAAAATAACGTAAAATTTTTTTATGTAATTCATTCGCTGTCTTTTGATCGATTGTTGCTGATTGATTTAACCATAAAGCAGGTAATATAAGATCATGTAAATTTTTAAGATCATCAAATAATGGATCATATTGTATAAGAATATTAAGTTGAAGACGCTTTTGTGCATTTAATACGAATCCTGTATATGGTTCAATCTGTAGTACAGTTCGATGAATATCAGCATTAGGCATTAATCCATCTATACGTGATTTATATCTTTCAGCAGCATAAAGAAAATGTGGTAAAGAGATAATTATAGGTGCACCTTGTTTACATTTACTAACATCAAGTACACCTGAATCAAGTGTACCAAAACCGGCATTATCCGGATTGATAGTACTATTATAAAAGACTTCGGCTGGTATTGAAAAACTTTCGGTTGCTATATTGAGTACAGATGAATGATATTCAAATGTGATATAGATTGAACGACATATTTCGGTAGAATATAGATAGAGACGTTTATTAACAGATGTTAGTGGTGGAAACCAATTACCGTCTGTACCATTGATTTGATTACATGACGACGTATGCCAATAGGGTAGAACCGAGACACCTGTAATAATGACGAGAGTATCAAACTAGATTTTCTACTCGATTCGATAAACCGTATATCGGAGTGCAAGTCCGATTTCCAGTCCAATCAATGTGGAACACTTTCAAAATTATTGACAAATAGCTACAGAGTCAAGGGAAAAGAGGTGCCCCTATGACGCTACTGATTCTAGCTGACTCTAGACAAAGCATTGCGAAAAAGCACGACTCCTGTAACTCCTACAATCTGTGGAGTCATTTAAGAGTCTCCAGAGCTAAAGAGTGACTTGAGTATCAGAAGAGTTACTCAGAACTCACTGGCGTTACTCGGCAGCCAAATGAATCTGCTGAAAATCACAAACCTGTTTTTCCTCTATTTTCTAAGACTCTCGAGCTCGCTCCCACGACTTTAAATAACTCCAGAAGTTATGGAAGTCACGGTTGTTTCGTTTGCTTTGTCTAAAGTCAGCTGGAATTGGTTAGAGTCACCTGGAACCATATAGTCAGTGGGGTTATAGAGCCGGATGTTTTCCCCTTGGTTTCACTCTCAGAAAAGCGCACTTTGAATTTTTCGCCTAATGCCCACTATTAGCTCTTCTGGACAAAAATACTGGCTCCACTACTAACTGTCACATACCTAATTGAGAAGCGTTGAAGTCGGAAGTCAATTCGACATTATCACTTTTGATTACTAGGAATAGATAATGGCTTCACCTATACGTACGAACAACAATATGCTATTTGTAGGATACTAATCACTCCTTATTCTTACATCGCCCTTCTCCTTCATTTGCATAGGGTTTGAATTCAAATTCTGTGTCTTACCATTCCATTTATCGATGTAGTTCAATCGATTGATATCATGCTTGCCTAGATAGAATATTGTTTATCATATAATAATGTTATGTTTCTCTTGATATTTTTTTACCTGTAAAGACTGTAAAAATTCCATTATCGCTATTGTTCTGTCTGTAGAAATAGCCAAAGTGTTCATCGGATACAAATTGTCCAACAATAGGCAAACGTTTGGCTGCTTTTAGTAAAGGATCTTCATAACCCCAGATCCATTCACGAGCTGTATGTGTAACAAATAATGATTCATTGAATACTTTTGCAATAAGATTAATTAATTCTTGAGTAACATTCGATAAATTACGAGAAAGTGCAAGAAGTGATATAATAGGCGTATTAATCATTTTTATCGGCAATTGTTCATCATTCGATGACATATTTCGTTGAAATGTATATGATACAGGTTGATGATAGGTGACAGTATGATTTAGATTGAAATGGACATCTATTTTGATTCGATTTTCCAAATAGGTAAATGGACCGTGTTGAATAAGCATAGGTTTAAGACCTTGTTGAATAACTTCGTCTACATTGACACATTCCCATAACCAAAATTGTACATAGATAGGTACTGGTGATGAAATCCATGAATCGAGTTGATCAGAATCAGTGCTGAGTGGTAATTGTTTGTTAATTTGAGTTTTAAGGAATTGTGCACCAAAAACAATACCTAGAATGCCTGCAACACATAGGCCAAACGAGATCAATAGACCAACAACAAGAATACACGAAAAGTAAGTCGACGACGCCATGAATATGAGTCGTTATCTAATACTGCATCCTACAAAAATAAATAGTGATATTATACTCGTTTCTTTTTCTTTTCGTTTACTTTTCATCTATATTTGTTTAAATATTTGCAAAGTAATCTGTCGATGAGCATTGATGAAACATCGATTACAATACCAGATATTCGTCATATTATCGATTATGACCATATTAAAATGAAAATATTCAATGCACAGACTGATTTAAAAATATTACCAGTACAAAATATTTCACAAGCACAACATGGGATCCAGGACGAAGAATACAGAGTTTGTATACGCTTGTAAACAACCATATACTTTTCATATTTTGGCGGTCTACGTGGCTCAGTATTACGGTGCCGTATACGGTCGTATTTCTCCGTTTACGACCATTTTACGAGCATGTCGGTTTGATTCGCGGAACGAATAGAACAAGCAAGACGCCAATACACTCCAGCATCTTATCCCATGTGTACATGTTAACTAGAGAGTACCATTCAGCGCTGTGTGACCCAATGGAAAGTCAGCTGATTGCAGAAAGATCGTTCGCGACGTTCTCAGTCGCTCATGGTCCCAGAGTCAGGTGAGGAAGCGATAATGAATCTGAATTAGACTCATGAGGGAAGCTCACCACCCAATTTCAGCTTCTAAAACCGTTCCCTTATTAAGATACTCAATTCACAATAGAGGCATCCTCAGGTAAAAACCAACAATAATTTCTTTCTGTTTCCTCATAAACCTATTGTACCTGAATTTTGAATAGCCCTGTGAAATTGAGATATTGTTCTCTATATCATTTGCAAAAGATTTAAACTCTTTAGTAAAAAAAAATTTTTTGAAATTCCCGTACCCTCTCAGGATTTAAAGGGTAAAAAATTCTTTGTCACTAAAGAGTGTAAGTGTGGGTTTAAACCCAGTTATATTTACAAATACGCACACGTCCACTTACTCCCACACACTCTCACCGACCCGCATCTTTTGTTTCAGACAATCGTTAATTATTATGTCGAGTATATTTCTCATGGAAAAAAAGTTGTTGTTCGGTTCACGTTTAGTGTTATTTCGTTTACATTATCATTAAGATATCCATTATAATCATAACAAAAACCAGTGGAAGTGAAACTGTCGTTGTCGTTATTTTTATTTTTGCCGAATAGAGAGAACTAATTGTGCTGATAGGATCGAAGCAAAATGAAAACAATGAATGAGACAAGGTATCTAGCGCTATGGCTTGCTAGTGAGTGTTATCTAAATAAAAAGCAAACGAAAGTTGAAAAGAATAATGATAAGATAAATGATGTTGTTCGATTTTTTTACTTCTCATTGACCACTTTATTCTCAATTCAAACTGGGTGGGTGTGGGTGTGGGTATATTGTTTATCTACGTCCATACCACACACCCACACTCCTCATCTTTGAACTCGACCGAGATATCGATGAGACGAAGCTGTGTACAAAATTTCATCACAACCTGGCTCTTCTTTCAAAAGTTATCGTGTAAATGGCCGGATGGCCTGCCGAACACACTGATTGATTCTAGAGTGTACTCACTTTTTGAGTACATAAAAAGTAAAACAAGGCAAGCATTAATAAAACGAGTCAGACCTTTTCACCTCTAAGAGGAAAAAAAACAACGATGCTTTCGGCTATAGAAGCTAATTTAGGCGCACTGGTTTTAGACATAGAGAAATAAAGTCACGCTCCTGAATTAGATTCACATATTCACATCAAGAAAGCTTCTAACAAAATAAGTTAATCATTAAACTAGAGAAAATCTGCCGTACAAAGTAAGAGTGGTGGTAAGACCATTTTTCATTCCCCAATATTTTTGAAAGAGTGTGGATGTGGGACGCGTGAAGTGTGGAGGTGGTTGGGTGAGTATAAATGTCGATGTGGCATGATGGTGTTGGGTGTAGATGAAGATAATACTAACAGAAAGTCATACCTGCACACACTCACATCCTCTCATCCGCATCCCACACCCACATCTGCACTTGCTCTCATATCCCAGCTATTATCAACCATTTATCCATCAGATATCGGATGCGGGTATGACTTTGTGTGTGAATCTCCTCGAGAACAGGCGGATCCCACAATATCATTTTCATATTTTGAATAGTTGAGAATGAAAAAAGGAAGGAGAATGACTTCTGTAATATTCAATCAAACGAAAGCGAGTATCACTCTTAGTCTTCAGAAGAATGTGCGCTTTTTAAGCCGTACCAAAATCGTTTTTTTCTAAAACAGGAGTCTTAGCCTGAAACAGGCACTTGTAATGGCATAAAAGTATGCCATTGACTGACCAGTTTACTGCTATCTATCGTTTATCCGCTAGCCATTCACATTCTCATACTACAGCGCAAAATATAGTTTTCATGTTACGCTTCTTTTTAATTTTCAAATCATAAGCATAGTCAAAGAATCGTCGATTAATTTGCAAGAATATGTGCAAGTAGAATTGTTCTATATAGGGATTAGAAAAATTTCTTGTAGTTATTCAAGTATTATTATTTAAAGTTCTTTTGAAGCTTCAAAAGCTTGTTTTATTGATTCTATGTTGCTTGTCTTCGTTGAATCGATAGTTTCATGATTAGCTGCAAGAAATGCTGGTGCACTTACACAATTGAAACTCAAAGAAAATAAATATGTTTTTTTTCATTTGCTGCTCGTGATCGACAGGAAGAAAAAGTGGCCACAAAAAGGTATTTTATTGCCTTTTTTCTTTCTTTAACTTCCGAGACGTGCCTTATTTGCGCTGCAACAAGAATATTACATGAGTAATCAATTCGAAGAAAACAGTATTCATGCTCTATTTTCATCCAAAATGTTAGATGATTTTCGTGTTCGTATGAAATCTCAGCTGCACGTGGCGTTATTTCTTTAGTTAAGAAATCTGATTATATATAGATATTTGATATTGAAAGCTGAATAACTATTTTAATGAATTATAAATCTCTATTTCATAGAGCTATTTAACGACTTTTCCAAAGAAAAAAATAGGTTTGTAGAAGTTTTCCTTCGCAAAACACTCTTGTAGGTCGAACTAATTTTAATACCGAAAATCAGCGTCACACATTTTGGCACTGATTTCGAATATTGTAGTCTATTCGACTTTCAAGTCGTGTCTTATCAATCGAAATTCGTATAATATAGAAATTTGTGAGTTTCGTTTTATCTTGAAAGTAAACTCTTTTCAATAGTTTTTACCGTTTTTAAGAAAATCAAAAGTTACGTCATTTATTTTAATATAAATCATAGTTTCACTCGTTCACGATGGACTACGAGGACATAGAAAACAGACTCTGTATGATAATTTCGGCAGCTGATTTATTTGGACAACTGACGCTCTATTTTTTAGTATTTTTCAGGAAAATAATTTCAAGAACTTATAAGTATATACATTTTTTTTTCAGATTTTGTTTCTATTGGCAGTAGTCATTATATTTACTAAATGGCATCACAGGTACTGTTCTCATGTTCAACATTTTAAAAAGATTTTTATTAATTTGTTTAGATCGAAAAATTGAAATCAAAAGCTAATGATGCTTTTTCTGAAGAAAACTATGATGAAGCCATTAACTTGTATACACAAGCAATAGCACTTGATGGAAATAATCATTACCTCTATAGTAATCGATCAGCTGCTTACATAAAAGCTTATAAATATAAAGAAGCATTGAAAGATGCAGAACAATGTCTTAAACTTAAATCGGATTTCGTTAAAGTAAATTTTTTTTTTGTGTTTTTATAGTTAAATTTATTAGTTTTATTTTTCCATAGGGTTACTCGCGGAAAGGCGCAGCATTATTACTTCTTAAAAGATACAAAGAAGCAATTAATACTTATGAGGAAGGTCTTAAAATCGATCCAAATAATGAAGTCTTATTCAATGATCTTGAAACAGCACGAAAAGCGGCCACTAAAGGATCAAAAGTATCGTTGATTTTTGTGTATCCACTCGCTAAAACAATTTCAATGTTAAGAAATCATTCTCTAAACTAGTTTGAGTAGTTCTATAAAGACTCTCTAGTTTCAGAAGAATGCTCAATTTAGATAAGGGTAGATCACAATAAATGGAAATTCCAAAAGTAGTCGTCACAGCTTTTATCGGAAACATTATATATATCGTAGGAGATTTTTATCTTTTTTTCTATTTTATACGTAGGTATGCACCGGAGCCGGTGTTCCCAGACTTCTTTGGATTGAATGACTAAACTCGAGAATATCGGACCCTTGGAAGTTCTGGCTCGTTGTATGCCTATTTTTATGACGCATTGAAAATTTCTCGATAAATACGCTGTCAATAACTTAACGATATTGTTATTGCTTTTCTCAAATACTGTTTTTTATTATTGAAACATTCTAAGGTACTCTCTGTATATGTGTTGTGAGCTTCTTTGTCCATTCCAAAAATTACACTATGATCTGGAAGTCGGTGGAACAACATTTCTAAAATATGTATCCATTACTCGAGTTTCTGAAAAACTTCCAGGATACTCAAAAAATTTGATGTGATTTTCATTTCCAAAGATCCATTTTGATTGGTAAAATTTATAAAACTGCTCAATTATCAGAAATGATTAATTCAAATTTTTCTCATATAATAGTTACATGATATCTGCAATTGTCGAGAAGTATTTTTCGAAATTGATGTTATAGTTTAGAAAATATCACTTTTTTTTACTGCAGACTCCGAGCATGAATCAAAATTCATCTTTATCAATCTACGTTTGTAAAGGTGATCTAATAACACAAAAGGTAACTAGAAGTTTATAAAAACAATCTAGCAAATTGAATAATTTATTTTTTCTCTATTAGACTGATGTTATTGTCGTATGTTCCTCATCGAAATTTTTATTTGAGAAAATTTGTGAAGCTGGTGGAAAATCTGTGTTAGCTTCCTACAAATCACAGTTTAAAAAGTCTCCAAATTCTGTCATATCTGTTCAAGCAGACGGAGAACTTGCATCAAAAAAAATTTATTTTCTTTCGTGGACAGCTGATGCTGATACATCGATCCTTCGTGAATCAATTGAGAAATTTGTTTCGGATGCTTTTGAAAAAGCAGTAGAAGAGAATCAACAAAGCATAGCATTTCCAGCTATCGGTTGTGGTCAATTCGGATGTTCAATCGATATTGTTGCACAGACAATGATTCGAGAAGCTCATCGTAAACAACAAGAGCATGACATATCTGTTACATTTGTAATACAACCAGAAAGAACTGATATTTATAATGAATTTCAAAATCAAATTCAATTATTGGAAGCCGAAATATCACCGACTAATTTGAAAACAATGTCTGCAATAGTTAAAAAAGGAGTAATCGAAATTGAACAAGGAAACATAATCAAACAGAAGGTATTTTGAAAAAAAACAATATGCTTATGAGATTTCATTACGTCTATACTTATCTTTGATAGGTAGACGTTATTATTGGTACGTCATCATCAGTGTTCTTAAGGCAAGCCATAACAGAAGCAGCTGGAAGTGAAGTTGAAAAAGCTTATAAGAAAGAATTAAAAAGTCATCCAAATTCTACATTAATCGCAGTGTCTTCAGGCGCTTTATCTTGCAAACAAATATTCTTTGTCCAATGGGAACCTAATGATAATGAAGAGATACTTCGACAGTCCATTATTGATCTTATATCTACTGTTGTACAGAACATGATATCACATAAATTTACATCGGTTGCATTTCCAGCCATTGGATGTGGATTACATGGTTGCTCGACACAAATTGTAATTGGCACGATGGTTCTAGAAATAAAAAAGCATCTTTTGAAGAGAGATTTACCTTGGAAAATAAAATTTGTTGTCCAACCTGATCAAGAGAATATTTATGATGAATTTTGCAAAGTATTAATAACTCATGATGGTAAGATGAAACATTTCTTTAAATCGATTAAATTTGATTGCGCAACATATGAAACAAATTTCGAGCTTCTATGTCAGAAGAAAAATTTCAATATTCGCATCATATTTATAGTTCTTACTTATAGCAAATATTTAACTATCTAATTTTTGAATATAATCATTTTCTTCCTCTAAGTTTTGTTATCGTCGAACTTTGTACCGGTAGCTCCCTAGATAAGAAGATAGTTATGTTTATGTTAAACGAACCTTTCCGAATAGTTGGTATTCAACCTGACACCGACTATATATTTCGAGCATAGTATAGTTAAAATGCTTTAAGAATCAAGACCTCTTAATCATCAGCACGAAATCGTCTTAAATGTAATATCCTATATGAATTTATATCGAATAAATAGTGAAATGTTGATCAGACTACAGACATTTTAAAAAGATTCTGACTAAATGACATTTCGAGTGGTTTCACAAAGTTTTCGAGTCATTTTTTAACTGTTCACCTAAAAATCAACTAATTGAATGTTGACGTGAAAATCGGTTTATGGAGACATAGACTGACTCTCAGAAGATCCTAACAATTTTAGTGAGAAAGACTATTCTTTTGTCGTGCTGTAGAATGACTAAAGATAGTTATCTCATAAAAGTTGAGTTTGTATCAAAATGCTGTATCTTGAGAAAGGAACATTCTATTAGAAGTTTCACAGAATCATTCAAGAGTGAAAAATCAGACTTCTGTACGTCTGTAGCGCAGAAGTCTGATTTCTTCCATTAGAGACATTGTATATATTTCTGTTTCTAAATTCCAATAATTCAACTAAATGCTCTATCACCCTATACTTTTACTAATCTTAACTTGCAACTATTTGATAACAAATATTTCGAGATTTATACGCTGTTGTATGAGTTTATCAGTAGTAATTGACGGTGAGGGTGTCGGAGTGAGGACATACTGAGCATACTCGAAATATTTGTTATCAAATAGATGCAAGTTAAGATTAATAAAACTATAGGATGATAGAGTATTTTATGCAGTTTCAGAATATATTTTTACTTTTATAATAAATTGTTCCTATATTCAAAATGTATTTGAAAAAATGGATGAAAAAGAGCAAAAAAATGCATATTCGAGGGATCTGACGATGAGAGTACCTTCACTGTACTTGAATTTATTTTTAGCAAACAAGTGCATTTCAAAGCGTACATATATTGAGTTGTAGAGAATTCCACGGGCCATCCGAATATATAATGGCTTTTCTCAAAACATTAATTTATAGTGATGATATATTAAAAAGATGGTGTGATAGTATATTTTTCTAGGGGGATATATAAACGGTTCGAATATTTATCAAAGCAATTATAACTTGATATCAAACATGCATAATCATGAGCCCTTCTAAATTCGCTTATAAACTATCATACGTAGATTCAAACGACGGCTTACAGTTGTAATAGTTCTGTTTCAGCGAAACTATATCTTTCTAAGTGATATGAATCTAGCTTAAACCGATCAAGTGTACCGTTTCAAGGTGTTGATTACATTTAAACAGCAAGTGATCTTGAGAGTACATATAACGACATTACCATAGCTGACTCAAAGATCATCCTTGTTTGTGTGAGAAAGAAAAATTAAGTCCCGATTTAAGCAAGCAGTGATTTACATATGAACTAATGTGAAAACGTCAAATTTGACAATGTACAACATTCTACGTAAATTGACTTTCATAGATGTTCATGAATCAAAGATTTCTCAATTGCCACCAACATGGAAGAAGTCGACCGAACATAAAATTCGATTCATAGTGTCCGCCACGACAGATGAATACCAATGTATTGTTTCGAACTTCGATGTGACCATGAAAGGAAAGTATACAGAAATAATACATATTGAACGAATTCAAAATGAACGATGGTATAGGCAATACATCGCACACTATGAAGATTTCTTACGACGTCTTAATGAGGATACCGAAAAACGCTTATATCATGGATGTCCTGAACAAGCTGCTAGTTTAATTATGGAAGATTGTTTTAATAGAAGTTTTGCCGGAGTCAATGGTAATTTTATCTCTTTTCGTTTTTGTAGAGATTTTACATGCTCGTCTTTTTGTATCCAGGAACTGTTTATGGTTTTGGTGTTTATTTTTCATCAAATGCATCTTATAGTCATGGATATACGCGTCCGAATGCAAATGGAGAACGATGCATATTTATAGCACGAGTTTTGGTAGGAAAAACTACCAAAGGAAATAGTTCGATGAAAACTCGACCACTTGGATTCGATTCTACCACTGATGAGAAGCATATTTTCGTCACTTATCATGATGCTCAAGCCTTTGCCGAATATCTGATTACATACAAGTAAACTTCACATAGACTACTCATCGAGCTTTACAGGCATGTCGATAAGTTTTACCAGAAAAAGTTTTTCTTTTGAATAAATACATGCTTTGTTTAATTTTATGTATTTAACAATATAAGCAAAGCTTCACCAAGAAACTTTTTTTGAAGATAAAATTTGCAAAGTAATTGCTATAGAGTCAAAAGTGACCCATGAATTGGGTAAGGTCGTGCGGGTATCACTTTGGAAACTTAAGCTCCGAGGGTGTGCGAGCTTTTCAGCGAGATGAGTTGTTTGCAGAATTCCTTTAGATTGACCTACAAGGTCACCTGATCTAACACCTATGCAGACTTCTTCTTGTAGAAGTATCTCGATGAAATTGTTTCTAAATGCAAGACTAAAAGTGTATGGGGACTCAGACAATCAATTATGTCAACGTTTCAAACACTCAATTCTGATCGTTGCAAAAAGATGTGTGAATCAGTGTCCGAACGTCTCTGCCGATGTATTAATGCTGGTAGGTATCGATGCTACTAAGTGAACCCAATAAGGGCGTGGGTGTTGGTGTGATGGGTGTGGTTGGGGTTATAGATTTGTTCAACACTTGCACCCACACCCACACCCTCGGTAATCTACTAGATTCTTTATAATCTTTTGAATACACTGTATAAATTAGTATACTTTGTTTATGATTTCTTTCAAAGATATTGGGATCATTCGAATAAGCATAGAAAAGTCAAAGTCATCTGATGAGACTCTTAAGCAAGGTCGAAATCTGGATTATGGTTTGCTTGACTCACCATCACTCCACACATACAGCCACACCTGCAAGTGCAGGAGTCAACACTGATACCACTGCTGAAAATTGCTTTATTGCGGTCGCTTGTTTCGAAATACTCCCAAAGAAGAAGCGATACAGTTTTTTGTTCATATGCAAATACACAGAGAATTTGATATAAGGTCAGTAGTTGAAAAACTACTATCGGAATTTTTAAAGAAGGCGCGTGGAAGAAAAGCTTATAACCTTTGAATGGAAAGTCATAGCGACCTGCGGTTTTCAGGGTTCAATAGACGACAGTCGAGGGCACATGTCAATGTGGGAAAATGGTCTTCAGAAGCACTTTTTCAGACCAGTTTTAGTCTACGAAATTAAGGACAAATTAGCAAATTTTTTCGAGGGGATGTTTTTGCCAGGTTTGCACCCCGACATGCTCTCTTCACATTGGTATCTAAGCGATTTCTAGATTTTACTTCCCTGAAAGACCAGAGACCTTTTAAGAGAGCAATTTCATGTAAGACACTTTTCGCTGAAAAGCGAAAAACTACTCCGAATACAGGTTTTTGATTGTGCTAATCAACATGAAAGGGTTTATTCCCTTTAAAATCTAGGGCTTCAAATGTGATATCTCCCTCTGTGTATGAGCATGTCAGTGTGCCACGCGAGAATGAAAAAAGGAAAGAAAGAAAAATTATATATATGTGTGTGTTATGTCAGGAGCAGTGGCGTAGCCAGAATTTTGGGCTAGGGGGCTCAGCCCCTCAAAAATATTCGACCCATCTTAGGTATATGAAACTTATCTGTTAACCCAATATAGAGTTGATTGTTGTTTATTCTGATTCTTTCCTCAAAATATAAGCTGAGCTAACAGATATAAAATGGCAAAAGATGTTCGATCTTCATTCAATTGAAACAACAACAATAGATGAAATAAATGTGGAAATCTCGGATTTATATCCGAGAGTTATGTGTACTTCAAAAAGTGAATGAGACAAATCAGTCATCCTAGAATATCTGGATATAAAAATTAGCCGGACAAACCTTTTCTATTGACACTTGAATTCAATTGGCTACTGCTCAACCAATAGGATTTGGGGGTGAATACAGCTCACATTTGAACTATTTGGTCCCGGACATACAGAAAAAAATAAAACGAATTAAGTAACGTGATTGGTCTATTTCGATTTAAATCGTCTTTTTGAGACGATTTATTCGTTAATTCAGTTTTAATTCACTTTGAATTAGTCGGTGTTCGGGCCTTCGCCTTGATTTACTCTAAGAAAGTCGTTTTCCCTATAACTTGATTTCTATTGGTCAGTGCTCAATCAATGGAGCTTCGAGGCAAGTGGAGTACAAATTCGAGTTCTCCATCCCGAAAAACTCTGGAGTATCGCCTTTGCTGTCAGAAGAAAGAGCTCTAATTGTGGATCAATTAGAGCGTGGACAAGAACAGAACCGATTTCCGTTTATTTATCTTTGCAATAGGTGAGTTAGCTTCCTTATTTCTTGATGTTTTATATACCATTTTGTAGCTCGTGAAATTCTCTATCGAATGGTATATAATAATTGGGGTTTTATGTGACCATGATCGGGAAAGCCTTTTACAAAAGAAAGAACTGGTTGATCCTCACATAGGAAAGCATAGGGGAAAATAATTATTTTTACAATAACTCACCAATGGCTCGTACACTCATTCTCATCTTCGAATTCAACCGAGATATTGTTGGGACAAAACTGTGTAGAAAATTTCATCATGATTGAACTCTGCTTTCAAATGTTATCGCGTAAACAGCCGGTCGCTCGGCCGGACACACTGACCGATTCTAGAGTGTACTTACTTTTTGAGTACACAAAAATCTTGCTCTTGAATGGGAATAAATATGCGGTTGAACCTTCTTCTTTTTATTCTTCTTTTTTGCTCTTTTCTTGCCTATTTAAACGTATGTACTGGAATGGACGAAGAGAACTAGCTTGTAAAAATTAATTTTCTTCGTCCATTCCAGTATAAAAATTCAAATAGGCAAGAAAAGAGCAAAGAAGAAGGTTCAACCACATATTTATTCTCATTCAAGAACAAAATTTTTTAACTCTAAAAAAAACGTATTACATTCGAAACGTCGGTTATAATATATATTGTTATATATTTATATTTACATTTATATATTTTACTCTCCATTACTATGTTAAATTTTTATATAATTGTAAATAATAATTTATATAAAATATTTAATAAATTAAGAAAAAGCTAAATTGTTTTTAAAATGATCAATACAACCTACCTAAGACGTATGAACTTTCATTCTGATTTCACAACAACAGACATCGCTTTACTCTGATAAAAACCAATCACTGCAGCCTCCTGCAAAGCTGAAATAAACTACTCATAACCTAATAAACCTCATTGAAACTTGTATTTGCATTTACTGTATTTTCTTTTATTCAAAGACATATGAGTTGCACAAAATTAAATATATATGTTAAAAGGTAAAATTGCAAACATTAATCTATTTTGGTATAAAAAGAATATGTCTTTCTAAAATTTCGCCAGGAGGGGCTCAAAGGTCCGTGGGGGAGGGGGACTCAGCCCCCCTGGCCCCCTGCTGACTACGCCACTGGTCTGGTCACGCGCGCGCGAGTAGAATAGCCATTCCTGTTGCCAATTCAACGTGATTTATTTGAAGGAAAGGAAAGAAAAAAAGTCATTGTAATCAGTCTATTTGATAGTAAATCGTTGAACTCTATTATTCTCCCACTCGACGACATAGAGATTTCCATACTGATCAAAGGACAAACCCGTGGGTCGGTTCAACTGGTTTGCTTCTTCTCCTGCACCATTTCCACCCACAATAACTGTGCCCTCTGTCGCTCCCTTAGGCCAACGCATCACTCTATTATTCCTATATTCTGCCACATAGAGAGTACCCAACGTATCGACGAATAGTCCATGGGGCCAGTACAATTGTGTCAGAGCACCTCCAGAGCCTTGACCACCAGCGACGACAACTCCTTCTTTTGCACCTTTATCCCATTTCACCACACGATAATTCTGGTTGTCTGAAACGTAGACCGCTTGTTGTCGATCGACAAAGATGTACGCTGGAAAGTTGAATTGATTGAGATCATTACCTTCTCCATGGCCACCAGCAACGGAAGTTCCATTTTTGTCTCCTATTCGATATCGTCTTACTTCACTTCTGTCATCTTCAGAGACGTAGAGATATCTCTGATAATCCATAGCCAATCCTAAACACATGATTTTGTCCACGAGGATTTCTCCTTGAACTGTGTCACTACGACGAGACAATCGTAGAACTCGTCGATTCCATCGATCACAGATAATAAGACTATCCGTCTCTTTGTCAATCAACACATCGGTTGGAGTATGCAATTGATCCAATCAACTTCCTTGACCATGGGTTCCAGCTACTATTTGGCCATTGGTATCGCCAATCTTCCATTGAATGACACGATGGTTCCAAGAATCAACGATGACCATCGTTTGATTATCATCAATGGAGAGACCTTGAGGTTTCTTGAATTGATTGGTGGCATCGCCGAATCCATGGCCTCCAGCAACAGTCACTCCATCTTGTTCCCATCGGGCATCGACTGGAATATTGAGCATTACTACAATGAACGAGAGAAAGAAAAAGAAAAATCATCATCATTGCCTACGAATAAGAGCTTCTTCTTCTTCTTCTTCAAAGAGAACATGGTAAAAGTTTCGAGAATATCTTTTCTTAATATACTCAAATCAAGAAAAGGTTCTTACATGCAGACATAAATTGGGAAATCTTATCCTAGTTTTCTTTGTAAAAACAAGAACTTCGTAACGATTCTCCTAAGAATCCGTGTTTAAAGAGATTTGTTCAAGTTCTTAGCAAGATATTTTGGATTCTAAAAAGTAACATTTTCACAAGTGGATAAAGCTTACATTTTCAGATTGTTGGAAAGAGAGGTTTTTCGAGAATAAGCATTCCTGAAATATTGAGAAGAGTAATGTTAATCCTATGGAAGTTCTCGAGAGGTAAAAACATAGAAATCTGAGAAATTGATTCGTAGTGTGCAATGAAGAATCTTACCGATTATCATCAAAAGCGGTTTCAATAAGCTGAAGTCCTTTAAGAGTTTATGTTTAGGCAATAAAATAAAGCACGTTGTTAGATTCCTAAACTGAAAAAATCTTGAGGAAATTCTATCAAGATCTTATTAGAAATATCTCAAGAGTGAGAATTTGAACTGCTTGGAAAGCAAATATGTATGGTTTCTACATAGGACTATGTCTATTTTGAAGATCTTAAATTTCTGTGCGGTGATTGTTGCAGCAGTTAGCATTTTTGAAATATTGAGAAGACAAACAGCAGTCCAATCAGAGCGTCCCGTAGGAAAATATATGAATCAAAGAGTTTCAGGTGTAATTTAGAAAGCATTGATCTTAATATGATAGTCTGAAAGAGCTCTACATAACTATCATTAATTTATCGTGAAAATCATCTTTAGACCATTGTATTAGGATCTTACCAGGTGTCAGAAAAATTTTACAATATTTCGTTCTTTACATAAACCTCAGTTCAGACAAAAGCTAAAATTTCGAATTTATTTTTGAACGATATGTAATTCGATTCTTTAAAAACTTGTATTTAGGAATACTTTAATCATATGAATTGCATCTATTTGAGGATGGTATGGGTATGGGTACGCGGGTATGATATAGATGGGTCTGGATCCTCACGTCATACACACCCTACACCCATGATATAATATCGTTGGTTATATCAATATAACCTTTAACTAGCTGCAGAGTCATATTGCATACAAAGCAATTATATACATTTGAGTACATGTTAGCATTTGCCAAGATCAAGAAGCGTTAATTTAATGCTTATCTAGTTGCCGAGTAGTAGTTGTAGTTGCCATTGTGGTTGTAGTTGTAGTGTTCATCGCTATTTATTATCATAGAACGTTTGTATAAACAAAGCAGATAGTTTTAAGTGAAGCCTAAGCAGTGTTTCAAAGTAGAGCGACGATCTCAAAAAGTCTGAAAGGCGATTTTTATTTTTCAAAACTGTATTTTATTGAGAAACTTCTTTTTTCATCAGAGACCGATAAGATGGGCTGCATCCATCTGCTTGATCTTGAAAAATGTTGGAAACAGAACAGAAATTTGCGAAATACCGAAAAAATCGTCTCGTCTAAAGTCTCATATATTATTTGTTTGTTTAGTATCGCTAATCTTGCGAAATTCGACAAAAAGAACTAACAGTTGGAAATTCATTTGACAAACAGCTTATGCAAGCGTTTCGAGAATAAAACGAAAGTATGTCATGCTCAAGTTCATCACTTCTGTTATATTTTAAATACAAGCAAAAGATTTAAATGTGCTGACTGCCATTGTAGTACAAAGTTATTATTCGAATTATAAAGTTTGTGATTTCAACTTCTCACATAAATTGTCCATTTGTCAACGTGTTCATTTAAGATCATTAGAATATTTTGCCGTCATATCAGCAATGTGAATGAAATATTTTGTTCCTCTCGTCATGAGACAGTTTGAATATTTACATTCTTCTCTTAAGAAAGAAAATCATTCAATACGATAAATAAAGTCTTCTTAAGCTCTAGCGATTACTGTGTCGTAGCTAAATGATCAGTTTTCAATTTTGCAAGATTAATCATCGAAAACATGACAGAGAGAAATATAAGTACGTTTTGTTTCAAGCTATTTGTCTGTCGAGTGAACTCAATATTCACAAGAACCAGTCGAGTATACAATGAAAACTGGGAATAAAGAGAAGCATAGCACAATAAAATTGATGTGTTCTTATGTAGACTCAAATATGTGATACGTTCTTCAAAATCGTCTCGAATAATCAATTGTTCAATTGGTTTCGGTCTCTGATACACATTCAAAAGTTCACTACATATTCATGCATTAATAGATATAACTATAACAGGTTCTGTATTTCGAATTCATGGATATGATCCATCAGAAAAGATGAAATCTTTTCTCCAATGATCACAATTCATTTTGTCTCTGCCATACTTTATATACTTTTTTCAAAGCCTTTTCAGTTCTTCTTCACTTCTCTTACTTGCTTTCGGTGGACAGAGTTTTGGATTGAAACTCGGCATCGGATAACAAACAGGAAGATTATGACATCGAGGATGATGGACACATCTATTGTTAGGTTCGTAACATATGTTGTTTAAACGTTCGCATGTAACTAGCTCAGAACAATGTACGAATTCATCGGCACAAATGCCAGTGTTAATAGCACCTGCTACATGGAAACAAGCACATCCACTGTTTGGTGAACATCGATCGTATTGAAATATCCCATGGCAGAATTGAGATTTCACTCGAACTAGCGACATATTAAATTAATAGCAATACATGTAAAATAAAACAAGAATCAAACCTGTAAGACTTAAAAGGAAAATCGTTCAAAGTTAGATGAATAGGAAAAAATAGCTTTTAGAATTACCTGAATAGAATGAATATGACACAATGAATTACTGTTGAAGCCATTGTTTGCGTTGAAATGAGACAGAATAGCGGTGGCATCCATTTTTATATCTTCTGAATAGGTAATGCTTTTCATATCTGGCGAAGAAAGTGAAAAAGCGCATGATGTAGTCTTTCGTTAAACAGAAATTCGATATTACTCCAACGCTTACTTACATACTTAATTTCTCTCCAAAAAAGTAATCTTTATAGAAGAAAAGATCGCAAATAAAAGTAACAAGAGATTGCTTTTGTGATACAAGCATGCAATAGGCTGGTGTCATCATTCGAAACATGATTATCGTTATTGTCAATCATTGAACCACTATGTAATGATGACTTAAAACAAATTCAAGGACAAATTTTGTCTTTAATTTATCTATTTTATTATAAGTACCTTACTAAAGTTTACATCTTGATCAAATCAAAGTCACGGTCTATAGCCAGCCGCATTCATTTGTACTTTAAACTGTATCTTTGTTACATGTCAAGGGTTTATTTGTTCGATTTTCATCTCCAAATCTCATTTTTGACATAAACATGTTCAATATAACAAAAGATTTTCTATGAAAATGGTGGCGTGGCTACGAGTGCAGCACACGCTGAGATTGTTCGCTAGTAAATAAGATATTTCAAAGGTGAAACAGACTTTCGCTTTCTCTGCCAAAACTTTTTCTGATGGTTTGCCTTCTTACCGTGAAGAATTTTCAATGATGACACTATTCAAAAATGATCTCTCCAGCAAAATGCTTATGTTTAATCGATTCAGTCACTTTCGACTTACGATCGCAGAATTATTTGTCAACTGGTACATCGACACTTGAACCTTCATCAATTAATAACGAAAGAAACAAAGTCTATATTCGATCATTTTGTTCAACTCAACAGTAATGCACACCAGATATGAGCACAAAACAACACGTTTTTGAAATCCTGTCCTGCTGTTTGACTCTATCCTAACGGGTGGCAGGACAGGACATAGTCAGAGTTGTGTCCTGTCCTGCGTCCATCTGTGATGCACACAAACATAACCACATCCACATCTTAGTAAAAGGTCAGTATCGCACAACTTTGCTTTTCGAAAATCTGATACTATTACTCGACAGATCTCATTAATGAACTCTATGTGATCAAGAAAACTGATTTCGACTATGCATGGGCAACTATTTAGAGTACAATGAAAATAAAGTCACAGTACATGAAATACATCGTCTAATCACTGGAAAGAAAACGACAAACACCATTTACGCGGTAAAGTTCTGGAAGACATTTTTTACAGGGTTGTTGTTCATCCCATGGACATGCTGTACAAGGTATTATACGCGGACCTGCTACACCATCAGCGAATACTGTTGTCATTATTAACATCATGGTAATAAATGTAATTGTCTTATGGGCGTTTATCCTGCTGAAAATTGTCCGATGTTGATCTTGTTAGTTTGATGAGTTAATTGAGTAGTACAAAAATGAAGAGCTAACGACTCTTTTTCGCTGAAAAATGACGATGAAAAAAAAGCATTAACTCGGATGAAAGTAATGAAAAAAAACAAGCTGCATGAAAAGCATTTTCTTTTCTTGTGATTATAATATCACTTCATAGTTAGTTATTTATTCTGAATTATAAATGGTAAATTTATTTGAAAAGATAGCTCTGTATTATACAAAAAATAATGCATATGCATTTTGCCTTTCGGGAGCTAGGGGTGAGTTAAACCGTGTATTCAGAAGCACGGAGTAATCGTACAATATCACGTTTCGTATAGAAGCCGTACATTACAGCTCATACTATGTTTCTATCAACAACAGTAGCCTTTCAGTTGTCTTCAATAAGGACTTCAAAGAGTAGACATTAAACTTATTAATTCTTGAGATTGGATGTGGATACTATTATTTTAACTATCTATATCCGCCAACACCCGTAACTACACCCACACCTCGTACCCACACTCTAAAGTGGTCGTGGCTTAGGTGCAATGCCTCATAGTGAAATATAAGGGAGATATTTGCAAAATACTGAGAGATCCATTATATATGAGCTACTCGTTAAATCCTTTGTTGTATCCACTTCCCTCAACAAGGATTAACAACTGTCAATACATACCAGCTGTTCAAACTCATAGATAGTCATGAACGGATTGTTGGCATATAAAAAACACGTATTTTAATATTCCTAGTCGACTCCTCTCAACGAAATCCCCGAGGACTCCCAGTCGTGAACTCTTGGTGAGTTGCGTATCTCAGGAACTCCCCTAAAACTCACCTAGAAGTCCTCAAATTTTAGAAAGTCTTTCAAAAATTTTCGTAAATCTGAATTTTTCAGAGGATTTCAATAGTGACTTCCTGAAGAGACCCTGATGATACTCATCAACTCCCTGGAGAGTCTCTAGGAAGCCCCGCAAAGTTTCTGAGGAGCCCTTGAATCCTCTCTTAACTTTCCAAGGGACTCACGATAGGGATTCCCCGGAGATTTCGTTGGAGAGAGTCGACTAGGGATATGATACACTCATATGTGCACTTCTTCATTAGATATCTTCTTTTTAATAAATAATATTTTTTGAAAACATCACGCCCGTAAAATATAGTTTGGGGCGTGGGTGAGTGTGTGTGTTGTTCTCCTCTTCAATGCACACCCACATCAGCCTCCTCTCGAGATTGAATTTCACATTTTCTAAATAAGTCAATTGAGATATCAAAAGTCAATTATTTTTCGAACTAGCCAGTTAGTCATAGTTATAGCTGTGCGCAGGTGATTTCAAATGTTGATATCGCCTTTTAATAGAAAGGTTGCGATAGGCAGTGCTTCTATAAGTATATTGCCTCCGTTGTCAACAGTCTTTAATTTAACTTATACACCAAATAAAAGCTTATTCTTTTCGCTATAGAATGATATAAAAGGATTTGATGAAATATTCTTCTCTCATTGTTTTCTTGAGATGACCTTGTACATTACTATGTACCATTTTATGAATATTCATGAGAAAATTTCACTTTATGGTAGTAAAAGAATACAGGTCCAATTTGAATTAGCTACTACTCAGTAATCTTTTTGCAGCTCTACAAAATGATATTATTACATAGAGTTTTATTTGTGGGAAGATAGTTAACTCAAAGCCGAAATTCTATTGAGTGCTATAAATTGAATTTTTTGCCTCATTGCTGATTCATTTTCACTTGAACTGTTCGGTTTTATATTTGAAAAAATTATATATTTGAAATCAGCAACAAAAAGTAGGGTGTGGATGTAGGTGTTTGTTATATCATCTTGTTGACATTCATACCCACCCACACCCACACCAGTGTTGCCAGATCTTCCGGATTTTGGAAGCTTTTCCCGATTTTTTCTGAATTCCGTATTTTTCCGGATTGAGGGTGTGAGTGGGTGTGTGTGGATGTGTCTGGATGTGGATGTTGATGAAGATATACGCTCACATTCACACCCATACTCACAGTCAGAGCTAGACTCGTACCCACATCCACACCCCATACCACACTCAGACCCATACGCAGATCCACACTTTGATATAAAGTGACGGAGAATCATCTAGACCCAGGACGAACAATCCGACAGTGGATCCTATCGAATCCTATCCAGATCCTATAGGATTTTATTGGATCCGGGTCACGATCCGACTAACGGATCCATAGTATTGGAATCCGATCGGAATCCGATAGGATACTATAGGAATCTCGTCGGAATCTGACTGCTGGAGTTCCTATCGAATCCGACTGTTGAATTTGATCGGATCTCTGTCGGATCCGATCGGATGTCTCTCAGATTCCAACACTAGGATTTGTTCGTCGGATCGTGACCCGGATTCCGATCGGATTTTCTAGGACTCGTTGGATCCTATAAGATACCATCGGATCCGTGTCGGATTGATTGACCTGGGGAGCAGTTGTATTTTTGACATTTGATGATTATAGGTCGGGTATGGGTGTGATAGTAGGAGTGTCGGTGTGGGTGACTGACGAAGACAAAGATACGCTCACATCTACATTGACATCCCAACTCACATCTCACAACCACCTACACTACCCACACCGCATCCACGTGCACGCCCTTATCCACACCCACACCCACAGGCACACCCGATATCGGCACCTACACTAACCCACATGCTCTTTTTTTTTACATTGTCTTCTTCGACGAAGAATATCCTAAACGAACATAGTTACTTTCTCTCTTTCATATTACGTACATACATATTTCGTTTTTGTTCTGTAATGTTGAACAACTCAGTGTTCTGGTATTAGTTTTTATTCTCTTCTTTTCATATTTGGTGCCATGAAAAGCACATGCACTAAAACTCTCCATTCGATAGAAAAATAATGCCATGGTGGCCAATTCAATTAAATACAACACCACTGAAAGAAATCCGAAAATACTGATAGAAATGCTTCATATTCGTCTAGAAAGCTTGAGGAAATTTTCTCTTTATGCGTAGTGATAGCAAGAACGATGCTCTATTTTTCTGTGATATTTCATCATTGTTTAATTAATATCACGATAATAAATTTTCTGTATGAGCTGTTGCTTAAGGTAGCTGACGATTACATTGGATCGTTTGCTCTTCTATTTGTGGATATCGGTATCCTGTTCTCTCACTTGCCAGTACAGTGCATAACAATTTACAGAATAGAAATAAAATTTCATTTGTGCTTACTCCCTAGATATAGTCAATATTAGAAAAGTGTAGGTATTAGAGCAGACCATATATACAACTATATCAATACTCACACCCTCTGACATTACAGTAGCGTGGCATGAAATTTGACATACACTACTCAAGATGACCGTAATAGAAGAATAATTTTCCCACTATGCGAGAAAATAAACATTGGCCAGCAGATATCCTAGATTTATATTTCATTTACAAGAACAAAATAACTCCAAAGCAGTTCTTACTAAATCAATAAAATTTGCAGTTTGACAATTTAGATAAAAAGCTGTTTTGCAAAATTCTTTTTCTTGGACCATGTTTTTCATGGAATCTTGTCAAACAATGAATGATATCTATATTCAG